GACATGCCTAAACTAGACTCCTGACTGCCCTAAAATTTTATGTTGACAGATGTGCAACTAATACCATTCAGGACCCTGACTTACAAGTTATTTAAATGTAATCCTTCAAGAGCTCTGTAATATCAAATATTTCTACAGCTCATTTTCTTATTTATTTATCAGCTGAAATTTTTGCTTTACTTATCTTGTTTATTTTAAGTTTTATTGGTGCATTATAATTATACATAACCTTGGAATTCATTGTTACACATTCATGCATGCACACAATAGAATTTGGTGTCTGCTCAAGTTTTTTAAAATGATTCAAATTGAATTAAAGCAAAACTTGTATTTCACAGAAATCACATGAACTAAGGTAGTTTTACAGCTATTTTTAAATGGTTGTTATTCAATGATAATGCATATATATTCAAGAATATTCTTTGACCTAGCTGCTCAGGAATCTGAGGCAAGTTCAAGGCCACTGTTAGTAACTTAGTGAGGCCCTAAGCAATGTAGGAAGACCATGTCTCAAAATACAAAATAAAACTTATTGGGGATTTGGCTCAGTGATTAAGCACCCCTGAGTTCAATCCCTGTAGCTAAAATACAAAAGAAAAATATAAAAGAGAAAACCTTGATCACTGAACACATTATCTTACATGAAAAACAAACAATACAAGTATATGCTGTTATCAGTACACATAGGGCTCAAATTATCATTTTCGTGACCCATGAAGCTTACAGGTGAGTGTAACTTTGGTATTTTCCTAAGAGTTCCTGGGGTTACTGTGGGATCAACTCGAATATGTTAGGTGAGTGAATAGAGAAAATTGTCATATTATGTAATCATTTCTTTTAAAAACCTGATATTTTGTCTTTTTGATCAACTTTTTCCTACTGACTTCTCTTTATTGAGACTGACAGTAGAAAAACAAGAATTTATTTTAAATTAAGAACTTTACAAATTATATTAGTATGAATATGGCTATAAAATGTATTTAACCAGGAACCCATTGATATTTTGAATACAGGGTCTATTAATCTTATTATAGCTACCTTTTTCTAATAATTCTATAGAATATTGTTTCAGAAAATCTTCACGTCAAATGTTTTAACTAAACACCTGCCTCACGTCTGAATTCTGAACTGGTATCTAGTGTTTGTGAGTGATTCGTATTTTTTTGCATCCACTTAGAATCTTACATTATAGAACAAGTAGCCATAACATAAATCATTCTCATATGCTTGATTTTCAGTAGAAAAAAATATATATTTTTTATTCTATGACTGAAAAGCTTTTACCATGTCCTCTATATCACATGGATGATATTTAAAGAAATGTGCACACTCTCTATGAAATATTGTTCCAGCACATCATTCAACAATTTTCCATCATAAATTTCAGACTTGGGCCTTTTGAGTCTGAAGGAATGTCACCTTTTAATTTGTGTTAACATCATTGAGCCCATGTTTTAGGATTGAGATAGATACTTGTCCATTCATTAAAACCTTCAAATGGAACAACACCAAATCTACTTAATTGCAGTTCTATTTACTGCTCTAATGGAAATCACTGAAAAGAAAAAATAATGAAGTTTGCTCTTGGTAATATTTTTGGAATATTCTAACATCTTCTCTCGTAAGGTAGCAACAGAACTGTCCTGTTACAAAAAGAACTAAATTGATCCTCCAAAGTCTCATGCATGAAGAACTGTATGATAACAACTTTAGAATACAACACTTCTAGGGAGTTTATTATGTGCCACAAACACTTCCAAGGTTGGTACACATACTTTATTTATTTCACATATGATACCTTCAGTATTCACATGACTATGTTGATAGCTGAGATGACTGTATCTCAGCATCAGAGAGAGCTCAAGGGGAGGCTACTGGGAAGGGAAGATAATACAAGTGAATTCAGCCATGTGACTTCAGAATTTACACCAATGTTTTCTTGTTTATATATCACAGATATTTGGTCTGGCAGGAAATAAACCAGAATTAACATGGTGCTGACATGAAATACCTCTGAGCATGTCTAATCTGTGACACTCTTGGCTTTGGAGGGGCTCATTCCAATTTCCTGCAAGCAACCCCACTCAAATCCACCTAAAACTGGAGAGCTACTACGATGTACCTGACAAACAAGATCAGCAACATTAAAATCAAGCAAGACTCTGTCTCGGCCCAGAAAACCTAACATGTGTGGTGATAGGAAAGAAACATATTTTAAAATATGTGGGAATGCTTATTATTATTCTTTAAAAGGTACTAAACCCAAGGGTGCTTAACACTGAGCCATGTCATCAGACCCTTTTTTTCTTTCTTTTTTTTAAATTTTCAGACAGGGTCTCACTCAGTTGCTTAGGGCCTTGCTAAGTTGCTGAGTCTGGCCTTCAATTTGTGATCCTCCTGCCTCAGCCTCCCAATCTGCTGGAATCAGATGAGTGTGCCACCATGACTGGCTGGTAATTATTTTTTTTTCTAAAGTTTGTCTTTTGTGGTTGTATATGGACAGAATGCCTTTCTTTTATTTGTTTTTATGTGGTGGTGAGGATTGAACCCAATGACTCACCCATGCTAGTCGAGTGATCTACCTGTGAGCCTAAACCCCAGCTTCATAATTCTTAATACACAAGAAAACTGGCATATTAAGAATGCTATTGTGGAGGTCCCAATGGCTCATGTAATCTAGCCAAGGCTAGGAGGTATTGAGATGAGTCAGTGCATGAGGATTGGTTTTGGAGACAGGTTTTCGGGGGTGTGACACAGTGGTCACTTATTTTACTATTTTGTGCTGGGGATTGCTTTGTGGGAAAGTGCACCAACACCAACTTACACTCCGTCTTTTTTACTCTATATTTTGAAACAGGTTCTCCCCATGATGTCAAGACTGGCTTCACTCTTGTGATCCTCCTGCCTCCGCCTCCTAGGTCACTGGGATTTCATGCAGACACCACTGTGCCCAGCACCAGAATTGAGTTTTCATGTGGAATAAAGATACATTTGGATGAATTTTCTTTTTTTCCTCATGGAAGTAATGTTCTTTGAGATCCATGAAGGAGATCATATTTCCAAAGAAGACATTTTCTTGTTTATTTTTTTCTAAGGTGTTAATAATATTTTTCTTTTCTCCATAAGATGGGCAAAGCCCACAAACTGTACAGTAACATTCACATAAGAAACACTGTGTACACTGAAATTGGCATCGGTGTCAGTGCCAACACCCTTCTTCTTCAAGTCCACGTCTCCTTTCACATTACCAGGCACAGACCTAAGCCCACTGACCTGGCCATTGGTCTCTTGGTGCTAATTCACCTATCAATGCTGCTCATCAAGGGTTTCATAGATTCAGATATTTATACACCTCAGGGGGAAAGGTGGGGTCATGTGAAATGTAAATTGCTTATCTACCTGTACAGGTTGATGAGGGGCTTCTCCCTCTGTGCCACCTGCCTGCTGAGTGTCCTCCAAGCCATCACCCTCAGCCCCAGGAGCTCATGCTTGTCAAAGTTCAAACATAAATCCACACGACACAACCTGTATTTTCTTCTCTTCCTGTGGGTCATCTACTCATCCTTCAGTAGCCACCACTTCATCTCCATTAATGCTACCCCGAATTGGACCTTGAACAACTTTATGTACATCACAGAATCCTGCTCTCTTTGGCCCATGACTTTCCTCCTCCAACACACCTTTGCCACCCTGCTGACCTTCAGGGAATGGTCCCTTATAGGAATCATGGCTATTGCAAATGGTGGCTGTCTTGTGCAGGCATAAGAGGCAGTCCCATAATCTTCATAGCACCAGCGTGTCCCCAGTATCATCCCCAGAACTGAGGGCTACGTGGACAATCCTGCTGCTCTTGAGTTGCTTTGTGGTCATGTCCATCTTGGACATCATTATCTCCTATGCAAAACTCACAGTGAATGATGATCCAATATTGTACTGTATCCAGATCCTCGTGGCCCATAGCTATGCTTCATTCAGCCCTTTGGTGTTCATTGCTACTGAAAAACGTATTATTAGTATTTTGAGATATATGTGGGGTAAGACACTACATATTTCAATAGCTGGTGATGGATAAATTGTGTTAAGATGAAAAAAAATGTGCTGGCTTTCAAATAATTCATCATGGTGGAGGGTGAATGTTCTTTGTTTTAAATGCAATACAAATTCTTCCTTTGTGTCTCAAAATGATTTATTTGGAAACATGCGTATGGCAAATATGTAAAAGAAAATTAAACCACATTCCTCTCTGAGATATTACCAGGGATTCATTTTTCACATGGTGTCCACAAGGGACCCTGTGAAGTGAATGTCACTTGTCAGGTCTTGTATATTTCATACTATTTATTAGATACAATATTTCCAAGGCTTTTTAATAATTTCATTGTATCAATTATCTGTATTTTTTCCAAAATAGATAATGTAAACTTTTACTACCATAAAATATTCCCTGATCCAACACACACACACACACAAACACACAAACACACACACACACACACACATACACAAACTCTGTGCAGGGATTCAAAACATTATTTCTATAAAATTGCTCATAAATCCATGTTTTAAATACTCAAAGGTAGAAACAACTCAGTACCTACAACCTTAAGAATATACAAATAATACATAGCTTCTGCAGACACTGGAATATTAGGAACTTAGAAAACAGAAGAAGATTTGGGCACACAGTGCAACATAGCTGAGGCTTCAAGTTACTCATTGAAGCAAGTGAGTCAGAAAAGAACAAATATTATATAGATTTACTTAAAGGAGGTGGAAGTTGGAGTAGCCAAATTGATAGGGACAGAAAAATAGAATGGAATTCCAGGGACCCAAAGTGGATAGTGGAGAATTTTTAATCTCTTTTCCATAAGAAGAAAAATGCAGAGAACTCATTGAGGGGACAGTTATACAATCATGTGAACAGACAATCCATGACTGTACACTTAAGAAAGAATTACAATGTTTATTTTATATATTTGGTGTTTTGAGATATATATATATATATATATATATATATATATATATATATATATATTTCACAATAAACATGTTTTTCATTCTCATAAACCCATTGTGGAAAATATTGGTTCTGAAATTTCAAAGTAAGTGATAGATTCTCAATGTGCCACAGTGTAATTTGGTGAGCTTTAAAACAGTTATAACCGATTTGTCTCAGTTATTTTAAGATTGGTTTTGAAAAGTGTGAATCGTTAAGTCTCTCCCAGGAAAAGTGTTCTTTCTATGGATTCTGCTAAGTGCCCACTCTGTGCTGGCTCAGCCTTTCAAGACTCTAAGTACTGTAGTAGGTAGCTCCAATGGAAGGCTTTCTGGAGCAATGTATATGAAGTCAAAACACCAAATTGAATTGGTAGGTGACCCATGGAAAATTTCCTAATCATGAGATTAGTATTGCAAAAATTGTGCACTTGTAATATAGTATATTTAAATGAGGAATTAAATATAAAATATTCTGAAAACATACTGTAGAAAAAAATTGAAGATGTAAAGGAAGAAGAGGATATGTGTATAGAACTTAAAAAAAATAAAAACCTGAGAACACATAACAGAATATTAAAGAAACCAAAGAATTACAGAAAAGAGACCAATGGGCAAAATGGAGATTTAAGTCATTATCAACACCTGTTAAGTGTGAATAAATAAATATCCATTATCAAGTGACATAGGGTGTCTTCATAATCACATCCTCTAAAAAAAACCACACCCATATAAACTCTGTGCAATACAAAAGCCCTGGAGTTGTAAGGACACACAGAGAGAATAACAGAATGGGAAAATGATGCACCTTGCAAGAAGGAAACCAGCATAGCATGGGCACCTGATTAAAGAACCTGGACTTTAGGTCACCCATGGTCAGAGAAGAAGAAGGCCATCACATACTGGGAAAGAGCATCAGCTCACCAAGAAGGTGTCCTAGTGACAAATGTCTGACATAATGTCAGGGAACAAAATGAGTAAAATATAGACAGAACTCAAGATAAATCAACAACAATTTAATAACAGCAAAAAAAATTTATACTTCACATCACGATGTAAACACTACAGGGACAAAAAGGACTTAAGTCACAGAAAAGTTCCAACCAACAGCAAAATACAGGACTGTGATGTGCTCAGAGCAGGAGGACAACACCAGGTCAACAAACAAGCCTCCTCCATCCAAAGAACCCTGAGGTCACATCTAGTATCTTTAGAAGCACAGTAGAATTAAAATAAAGGACAACTGCAAAGAACAAATATGGGAGAGTTTAAACAATGCCTTTTAAGCAATAATGAAAAGAAGAACTCAAAAGTGGAATCAGAAAAGCTCTTGAGAAAAACAAGTATCAGAAGGCCACACACTAGACCTCGGGGGACACCATGCAGGGATTGTGAAGAAAACTAGATCAACATATTTCATGTTGTGAAAATAAAACTTTTCCAAATAAGCTGCCTAACTGGACTCTTTAAGGAATGGGAGGAACAACATCAAGCCATTCCCCAAGTCTCCAGAACAAGGGATAAGAATAAAGATGAGAATAGAAATAAATGAAAAGCACTCAGAACAGTAGTAAAAAATCAACCCAACCAAGGTGTTGTTCCTTGATAAGGAAAACAAAATTGACAATCTTCAATGCAAAATGGCTGAAAGAATGAAAGGGAAGACTAAGAATATCAGAACTGAAAGGAGGAGCAATCCAACTGCAACCATGGGCAGTGGGGAGGACCCTAGACGAGGGCTGAGAACAACTCCACTCACACTGACAATAACCTGAGAGAAACAGACAGATCCCTGGACATGCACCATCTCCAAAAACTGAGGAATGAAAAAATAACAGACTTGAACTGAAAAATAATGATTGAGAAGATAGAACCAGTAACACACACATCCCCTCCCACAAAAGAAGAGTCCACGGACCCAGAACTTCATGGTGGAAGGCTACTAGGGTTTTAAAACAGCTAACACCAAAGCCTCTTATCTCCTCCAAACAAGGGAGGAAGAAGGATCTCCAAACGTATTTTATAAGGTTGACACACTTATACACAAATGCAAGCCAAGAAAAGTACAGGCCTAACCCCTCTGGTGAACACAGACAGAAAAAAAAAACTTGAGAAAAATGTGAGCAGATTGGATTAAACATGTTGAAAGCATCATCATTCATCAAGAAGGCCTGGGATTTATCCATGGGATCCAGGTGGCTCAGATAAACATCCCCACAACAATACGATTATAAATAGAAAAAGACTGAGAAATAAACTTGACCAGGGAAGAGAAAGACCTGTGCCCTGAAAAACTATAAAGATTAATGAAATTTGTTTGTGCTGGGGTTGCAGTCTGGGTGCTGGGACATCTTCCTGGGAGCAGAAGCAGTGGGGGGCTGGTCGAGCTGCCAGTGTGCTGGAAAGTTCTTTTACTCAGGGAGACCCCATTAAGCTCCAGTGTCTGAGGGGGTGAGGGGTCGGAGCCTTCTTTGCCATCCAGGGGAGGCTGGGATCCAACATGGCGGCGGGCACGGAGAGATCAAGTCTCTGACCTCTTCAGCTGTGCGGGCATGGGGAGTCTTAAACCATGGAAATGCTGTTTGCTCAGGATCACTAGGCAATGCTGAGCTGACGTGAATCTGGGGTGAACAGTCTGTGCCTCTCAGAACACACACTGAGCCTGGATCAGCTGAATTCAAGCTCCCATTCACCTGCGTCTCGCAGACAAACCGCTGTGACTCAGCACTAAATGATCCCACTGAAACAACTGGTTGGCCTTTCTGAATCTGCGGAGGTTAATACCAACCGAGCCTTCATAGGCAGTGGCCACAGGATTGAGATGGGGCTTGGGAGAGCCAGTCAGGACCCAACTGTTGAATTTGTCACCCAGCAAAGGGAACGTGAACTGTCGCCATTTGCATGGGATACCATCATGGCAGAGAACTGACGTCACCAGAATGCGGCAGAGGAGATAACTTCATTGAAACCGGTGGTGACAGGTGTGTAACGCCCTAGCCTTCCCTCTCCACACAGCGGGGAAACCTCAAGGGTCCTTCCCAGCTCTCCCGTGCGCGCGATAGTCAGACCGAGGGAATCAGGAGTGGTGCGGGACCCGCGGCGCGGAACCCCCAGCTACCGCTCGCACCAGTGCTGACAACTGAGGTCTCTTGCACCAGCTACTGGGGGAGTGGATACCGTAGGGCAAGCAAAATACGCTGAGGGTTCTCAGCCCCAAGATCCACAACCTTAGAGTCTGAGGGAAGGGCAAGCAGGGAAAGTGTGCCCAGTCGTTCAAGTGTAGCCAGTATTGTGGTGAGCGTCACCGGTGAGCGGGGCCTGGCTGGAGGAAAAGTTGGGAAGTGACTAGGCACTCAGGATTGGAGAACTGCCCAGTCCAGGAGGAGGAGCTGCTGCACAGTGATTGGTTCCTGCATATACAGAGAAGCTTGGCCCAGTGGGCACAGCGCCACCTGCTGGATGAGAAGTTAATCGAACTCCAAGACTGCATTTATTATTATTTTTTTTTAATTTGGGTTTTTTTATTTTCATTTTTTAATATTTTTTTATTTTTTATTAAATTTTTTATTTTTTTATTTTTATTTTTTTGCTTATTTTTTAATTTGATTTTCTCTTTTTATTTTCTATTTTTCTTTTCTCTTTTCATTTCTTTTCAATTTCCTTTTTCCCCCTTCCTTGAATTCTACCCTTTACTCTCATTCTCTTTAGTGACTTCTTCCCTTCCCTTTTAATACCTTTCCTCCCAAGCATCAAATAAATTTATAGGAGTAAACAGTAACTCAGCAATCAAACAGAACAAGAAGTAACATGAGCAGCATGAAAAAGCAAGGAAGAAAAGGAGTACAAACAATGCAGGATAGCCTAAATATTCAGGAGGACGTAGAGGCATCAGAAAAATGGTCAAATAAAGAACTCAAGGAATACCTTAGACAGATGGAATGGAATCTTAAAGAGGATATGAGACAGCAAATTCAAACAATGAAAGAACACATTGAAAATGAAATCATAAACAGATAAAAGAAGCAAATAAACATCTTTC